GGGGGAGAAGGGGCATGAAGGTGATGTGGACTCAGAGGGGACCCCCCTGAGCACAGAGGCGGGGATCCTGGGGGAGCCTCGGGGCAGGCAGGCAGCAAGAGGCAGAGTGCGGCGGAGAGAAGTGGGAGAAGGCAGAAAATAACACAGAAATAAAGACGTTAGGAATAGACAGGAGAGAGAGAGAGAAAGAGAGAGAGAGAGATACGATGTTTCCATGGCCTGGGCCCTGAAGACTTGGCTGGCTTCCTCTCACATCCCCCTCCCCCTCGCCTGCTCCACTGGGCTTCCCTGGCTCCTCTCTGTTCCTGGAACGTGCCAAGCGCCTTCCTGATGCGGGGCCTTGTACATGCTGTTCTTGCCTGTGAGGCACTCCCCTCCCCTCTGCGCCCCACACAGCCATCGGCCCGGTTAACTCTTGCTCACCCTTTGCAGCTCAGCGCACTGACTCTCCGGGGAGCCCTCCCCAGCCCCTGGTGGAGAGCCTGTTCCAGCCCGCTCACTGCTACGTCGTTTACAGGGCCGAGTGGGACATGAAAACAAGGGGCGCTGTGATCAAATACTGTCATGAGTTTTGGGAAGGGAACGGCAGAGCGTTTAACCCGGCTCAGAGCTCTGGTGGCCAGGGATGGCAAGGGTCACGCACCCGTGAAACCGGCCCTCGGGACTCCTTGTACTGGTCCCTCGTTCCCTCGTTACAGATTTCCTTGCGCGATTATTTACTTAAAGTTTGTCTATTCCCACGAGTCTAGGAACTCCCCGAGAGCCGGGCCGGTGTAGATTTATACACAACTCCTGGCGCAGCGCTCAGGAAATATTCTAGGATGAATGAACGGAAAGGGGTGGGGAGAAGACAGAGTGGGACGAGGAGGGAAGCATGGAAAGATGGGGCAAAGCAGAGGGGGACAGGAGAGAGAAGGCACAGGCGAGTGAGTGGGAAACCGCCAAGGAGGAGGCTAGGGGGCAGACGAGGGGAAGCCTGGGGAGGGGAGACGGTGGTACTCACAGCTGGTCGAAGGGCTGTCGGTGCCATCCGGTTCTGCCCTGGGGAAGTTGTGCCCGGAACGGGCCGAGAGCAGCGCCGACTCGATGGCCCGCTCATGGGCGGTGAGCACAATGGCGGGGCCCCGGTCCCCGGCCCCAGGGCCGGACAGGGACTGCTGCATGAAGGCCAGCTTGTCCTTGGTCCTCCGCTTCATGTCATCCCATCTGTGCTTAATGTCCTTGACGGAGCGGGGGACCTGGCTCACGGAGGTGATTTTCCGAGCTATGCCTTCCCAAATCTTGTCCCTGTCGGCATGGGAGAGCCGCATGGTCTCCCTCCCAAAGAGGACAGCTTCGTGGTGGGTCACCTCGGTGACCAGAATGTCCAGCTCCTCCTTGGAGAACTTGGGCTTCCGCTTACGATCGGCCAGGGGTGCCACATTCCTTGGGTGCAATATCCCACAAAGCACAATTGGGTAAATTGACCGTCAACGTGGGTGGTCCTCCTCCTTCCTAATGCCGGCCCCCAGCTGGGGAGCCGGGAGGCACACCGGGGCGCCCTCTCCAGCTCACTACCACTACACCCTCTTCCTGCCGAGAGGCCCTTGCTCTACTCCTCGGAAGGAGGGAAGCCACAAGGCGCACGCAGGTGGGAGCACTGGGCTGAGCCCACCTTTGGTTCCGGGCCTCACCGCTCAGCTGTGCCCGCCAGAGCTGTCACTCAGCCTCTCCCAGGCTCCTCTCCTCTGGGAAAGGGAATGACAACCGCACCAACCTAGGGGACTCCTCCACGGGGGGCACAGGCCCTGGGGTGTAAAGGAGCTTAAAGCCCTGAACAGAAATGAAGGATGCCTACTGGGGTTAGGATGAGGCCACTGCTTCTATCCATGGCTTGGAGGAAGAATAATTAAACAGGGAAACTGTTCACAGTGGCCTTCCATGGTGTGTGGCCTTGCTGGTGACGCTCAGAATTGGGGTACGGTCACAGAGAGCTTATTCTGTCCCATGGCTCTCATCTCCGTCCCCTGCACCCAAGTCCCCACCAGGTCCCGACGCCCCTCCCACGGGAGCGCTGGCTGGCAGCTGCTCCTTCTGGATGTGGGCGCCTGTGGCTTTCTGACAGCTCCCGGGTAGGAAGTGAGGAGCCCATGAGCACCCACTGGATGGCGAGTTCCATTTCGATGGAGACCAGGAGTGACCTTGGCCTCCATCTGCAAAGAGCAGCCCGGGACCCTGGGCAAGGGGACAGCGTCGCCCTTCTCCATTCTGGCCTGGCACTTGCTCGGGCTTTGAACTCAGTCTGCACAGTGCGGTTCTGTCTACCCTTTAACTAGTGCCAAAAGGTCAGTCCAACACAAGAACTCAGGGTGAGGAGGGAGACCTGGAACCTGATCACTTCTCTGACTGCTGCCGAAGCTCAGCGAGAGGCCCGGAGCACGAAGACCCTTGAGGCTGGGTCTTATCCTTGGACAGACCTCCTCTGCACAGTTTCTGTAAAGCAAGAGTGGTGCTCCTAGGGCCACCTCCCAGGGCTGCCAGGAGGATTGCATGCAGGGGGCTTCAGTCTCAATGCTGTTGGCATTTGGGGCCGAAAATGTCTTTGTTTGTGGGGGAGGGGTGCCCTGGGCAGTGTAGGAGGTTAATCAGCATCCGTGGCTTCTGCCCAAGAGAACTCAGCAGCATCCACCCTAGAGTTTGACAGCCAAACATGCCTGAAGGGACTGCCAATACACCCAGGGGCCAAACAGCCCTGGGGTGGCCCATTGGTTTCATGACTGTAGAGTAGCCAGTGTAGGGCTGTCTTAGAGTCAGCACTCACTCTGCAGGCACCCAGTCTCTTCCCGGCCCACTGCTTATTTGAAGGAACTCCGTGAGATCCTCAGAAGACCCCAGGCAGGGACCATGCATGGGACGGTGTCTGCAAATGGGAAAGCTGCACAGATAGATGGCAGCTGCAAGCTAAGGGGGAAGGAAGCTCCCAGGATGAACTGGCTTCTTCCTCCAACTACCACTAGAGGAGCATCTCCATGGCAACAAACCACACACTGAGGCCCACCGACTCCTGGAGCCTTCAATGCGAGGGGGACCCCACAGATGTGACTACCCTGGTGTATCCTGGGTCAGAATGAGGCCTGGAGCACAAACAGGACAGATCTCACACCGCAAGGCAGTGGTGGCAGAAGCTGTCCACAGGGCTCAGGAAGCCATGCTGTTGTGCACAAGCAGGAAGAACACTAGCCCACAAGTCCTGGGTCACCCACTGACCCCGTGACCTTGTTCTGCCATTGACCACATGACCTTGCCTTGCTCTGGGCCTCAGGTTACCCAGGAAGCCTAAAAACACCAGTGCCCTGGGCTCAATCCCAGCCCAAGTAAGACAGACCCTCTGGGGGGGCCAGGTGGTCATTCACTTAGCTCAGATGATGAACCCCACTTTGGAACTATGGTAAAGCCTGGTTCGCCAGCTGCAAGATCAAAGATGGGTGGGGAAGTGGGACAGAATCAGCTCCACCCGACAAAATTTCTGAAGTGACGGTGCAGGAAGGCCTGAACCGGACTGTCTCAGACACACTCTCCTTTGCTCGCCGACAGCCCCTGCAGCAACGGGAACAGGAGCCCAGGCCAGGGGCCTGTGCCACGCAGCCATCTGATGCCCCCTCCCGCACCCCCACCCCCGACGTGTGGTTCCCACGGCTGTGCCTTTGCTCACAGTGCCTTCAAACTAGAGCCTGGCTCCTTCGAAGGCTCCGTCCAAAGGCCCCTCCTCTTTCATCCGGGCCCCGCAGCACATGGTCCATGCCTCCGCTCCATCACTGTTTCAGAAAAAGCAGTGTGCGTGGTGGAAGGTGTGTCCTGGGAGAGCAGGGCGCCCGGTACAGGCTCTGGCTCCCTGCAGGTGCTCAGGAGTGGGTGATAAGTTGCATGTGCTGAGCTGACCTGCATCCCGGGGTCAGGGAGAAGGAAGTCAGGAGCGTGGGCTGCCTTCCTGGAGCCAATTTCAGGGCGTGGCAGAGGCTCAGGTGGGAGCACAGGGACGCAGTGAAGCCACAGAGAAGGGGACCGGAGACAATGTCACACCCTCCCCACCTCCAATCAATGACTCCTCATTTGCTTGGAAAGCCTCATTGTTTGAATAACAGCCAACTTCCTCTTAGGAAGTCCCGAACTGCCCTTCCTCCAAGCACAACCTCTCAGCCCCCACAGAACTGCCCAGACGCCCACAGAGGGCCCGGTCCATGGTGTGGCTGTGGCCTGGGTCCAGCCACACGAGGCCTCCTTTCCCTCCCAACCCAGATCCAAACCCCCATCACCACTCCCAAGTCCCAGAGAGAGCAACCAGGCAAGTCAGTCCAAAAGGGCAACCGGGCAAGTCAGACCTCCCACACGCATCCACAGACCCCTCGGGTGGGGCTCCGGCACACGGCACAGACCAGCAGCAAAGAACCAAAAGGGGAGCCTTCAGTGTTCCCGCTCAGCTCAGCCGCCTCTGGGCGACCCTGGCCAGTCGCCTGTTCTTCTTGGCTGGCCATAAAGGATGTTTCTAGCGCAAACTTCTGTCCCAAACACCGGACCATAGTAAAACCATTCTTGGAAGTACTCATGCCTGGGTACCATTGAAAACTATGCCGGAAGCCTCCTTCTCCATGGAGCCATTGAAATTGTGGCTGCCCTGGGTTAGTCCTGCGCCACTCCAGTAGGATCTGTCTGGTGAGAGATGGCACAGTCCTGGGTGGGGGGAATGCTGCCAGGAGCCAGGGGCCTGGGTATTCCAGGCCATCTCTAGGGGTTCCCATACCCCGCCCATCTGGCCACAGGCCTCCTCCAGAGCCCCCTTGATGGAAGACTCGGAGAGCTAGAGGGTCATCTAGAGCTAGACACATCTCAAACCCTGCAAACAGCAGTCCCTGCTTTGAAATTGTCATCCCCACCACTGGAAACCCCACAGGCCCAGCATCTTTCTTGTCTCTTTCCAGAGTCCAGACAAGTCTCCTGGGAAGTCAGCAGAGAGCAGGACTCACCTCATCCAGTTGGCTTTCGTCTCGTCTGACCCGTCTATGGACTTGTAGCGGTTGTTCTTGTCCACAATCTGGAAGACAGAGAAGAAGGCTCATTCTACAGCGGCTCTCACACTCTTGGGCTCCTCCCCAAACCAAGACCCAGGGCCTGCTTCCATCTGCTACCATCCAGAAACTTCCTTTTCCCCTCCAGACACAACGCCCCCACTGCTGCAGGGCCGAAACCCAGACCTGGGCCAGCAGCAGTAAAATCCACCTCTCTCTCTCTCTCTCTCTCTCTCTCTCTCTCTCTCTCTCTCTCTCTCTCCCTCTCCTCTCTCTTTCTAAAATACATATTTTGGAATCAAGTCATTTATCAGATACTAGAGGCCTGGTGCATGAAAATTCATGCACTGGAGGAGGGGGTCCCTCGACCCAGCCTGCCCCCTCTCACAATCCAGGAGCCCTCAGGGCTGGGAGGTGACCTGGAAATCAGGGGTAGGCAACGCCCCCATCACACCTCTGCTGCTGCCACTGCCAGCAGTGTAACCCTTGGCCAGCCCTGGTTACCTGAGCCTTATTTTTCTGCTGAGAGTGAACCTTTATACTGGTTGTTGAGTCTGCTGCCTACAACCTCTTTCCCCCGATTCTTAAAACAACAATAACCACGAAATATTTCAAGTATCCAGAAACTATAAAGAATAATGCAGCTGATAGCCTGGTACCCACCAGCTCTAGCCAAGGAAAATTACCACCACCCAAATGTGTCCAGGACCTCTCCCTCCTCTGGCTAAATACCAAGATGTAATTTAAGAAAATACCAAGATGTAATTGAAGAATATCGCTGCCCCTAACTCATTCTCTTTCTCTCCCTCCCTCCAAGGGTAACTCCCACCCTAAAGCTGGTAGGGAACCTCCCCATTTTCACTCTGCGAGGACTGTTCTAAAAGCAATGGACAGAACTGCTCTGTGTGTCTGTAAAGGTCACAAAAATGGCTCCAATGAAACATACCCTCTGCCCCCTTTGCCCACCAAACTTTGCATGGCTGGTCCTTCTCATCCTTTGGGTTCCTGCCATCTAGAATCTCTTCCTGACCTGAACTGAAAGGGGCTTGTCTCCCCCCCCCCCCCCCCCCCCACTCCCAACCCCCGCCACATCCTGACCTTCACACACCTACAGATTCATCTTTTTAACTGACATTGTACTATTACATCTTTCCCCCCCCCCAAAAAAAAAATATTTTATTGTACTTTTACAGAGAGGAAAGGAGAGGGATAGAGGGTTAGAAACATCAAGGAGAGACAAACATTGATCAGTTGCCTCCTACACACTCCTTACTGGGGATGTGCCCACAACCAACATACATGCCCTTGACCAGAATCGAACCTGGGACCCTTCAGTCCGCAGGCCGATGCTCTATCCACTGAGCCAAACCGGTGAGGGCGTCCTGATACATCTTGTTAGATGCCTACTTACAAGGTGCATTTTTGCTATTGATGGTGTTTATCTACTTATCAATTTGATACAGGACTGTCTCCCTCACTAGAACATAAGCTCACGAAGGCAAAGCACACGGTGACTGCGTTCATGAGGGCACATGGTAGAATATTGGTTGAGAGAATGAATTACTGGGTAAAGTGTCTTTTAAATAAAATCAAGTTAAAGAAAAAAATTTGAAGAATGTTACTATTTTAGTAAAAAGGAAATGAGCGTTGAGCTAGCGCTGGCTTGTACTGCTTATGAGAGACGACTGTAAAATATTCCGGAGTTTCATGAACCAGTCATTAAACCCAGCCATTATTAAAAATTAAATGATCTAATTCAGTAAGTTATATTTTTTTAAAGGTAGTAAACTCTCAAAGCTTAGCACTTCCCTAACAATTTTCCTACAGCTTACTATGATCTATGTTCTTGAAGGTATTGGCACCTACTGTACTGTACAACAGAAATACTATTAATAGTTGCCATTGTTATTTCTCTTCCCCCTACTCCTGCAGTGCCTTTATCTTGGCAGCTTGAAATGGCATCAGCCACGGTAGGAGCATTTACATAAACCCTGGAAATCGGGACATATAATCCCACCACCACCCACCAGCAGGTTATTAAGAATTTATCTGCACCCCATTATGCCTCTGTTGATATGTGCACAGAAAGGCTGAGAGATATATTTCAAACTCTCAACTCTACCTCTGGAGTGAAGGAACGAGGTAAGGATGATGAGGCTTTTGCTTTGTCTATTCATGAGACTACTAGAGGCCCAGTGAATGAATTCATGCACCAGTGGGGTGCCTTGGCCTGGCCTGCTGAAATTGGCTCTCCAATATCCCAAAAAGGGCCCCAGATTGTGAGAAGGCACAGGATGGGCTGAAGGATACTACTGGTGCATGATCAGGGCTAGTGAGAGACATGGGAGGTTGGCCAGCCAGGGAGCTCTGGGGAGAGAGCTCCAGAGCATGTCCATCCTATCTCACTCAGTCCTGATCAGCCAGACCCCAGCAGCAAGCTAACCTACCAGTTAGAGCATCTGTCCCCTAGTGGTCCTAGCAACTGGTTAACTGGTCAATTGTCTACCTCCTGGTGGTCAGTGTATGTCATAGTGAGCAGTTGAGCAGCCTTAGCATATCCTTAGCATATTACACTTTGATTGGTTGAATGGCCAATATATAAAATATACTGGTCGACTGGATACTTAGCATACTAGGCTTTTATTATATAGGACTAGAGGCCTGGTGCATGAAAATTCCTGCACTTTGGGGGTACCTCAGCCTGGCCTGCACCCTCTAGCAGTCCAGGACCCCTCAGGGGACGTCCACCTGCCAGCTTAGGCCTGCTCCCCAAAGGATCGGGCCTAAGCTGGCAGTCAGACGTCCCTCGTGCAGCCTGGGAGACCTTGGGGGGTGACTGACTGCTGCCTTAGGCCCGCTCCCCATCTAAGCCACAGTCAGACATCCTTAGCACTGCCAGGAGGTGGGAAAGGCTTGTGGCTGAGCAGAGCTCCCCCAGTGGGAGTGCACTGTCCTCCAGGGAGCAGCTCCTGCATTGAGTGTCTGCCCCAGTAGCTACTGGTCATTCATCCATTAGCATCAATTTGCATATTAATCTTTTATTATATAGGATGCTTCCTTGTGGTTTAAAATTCTCAGACAAGAGAAAAACATGCAGCTCAGTTCCTCCCCAGCAGTCTCTCCAGACGATGCCCTAGTCTTCAAGGAACCTTCTCCTAGAATCTCATAGAACCCCATCTTTATCCTAATCCTAAGCCTAAACTGGCAGGTGGACGTCCCCTGAGGGGTCCTGGACTGCTAGAGGGTTTCCCCATCTATAAAATGGAGTAAGAACCAACCTCACAGCACTGCTGTAATGGCTGATGTAGAAGGCACTCAACAAATGATTACTATTAGTATTGTGATCAAGATTGTAATTATTAATGAAGGGAACAAATGTCTGTTATGATTAATTCTGAGCGATAGAAGGTCTGTAGATCAATATTGGGATGTTGTAATCGGCCTTTTTTGCAGCGTCAACTGGCAGAGAGGCCTGAATGGGAGTTGTGCAGGACCTGGGAGCTGCCTACAACCTCTGTTGCTGGGTTCAGAACCAGAGATTAACTGAGGGATGTTTCTTGGCTTATCTTTACCACCAAGCAGGATTTTTCTCAAATCAAGCATTCATTCATTCATTCAACAAATATCACTGAGGAAGCAGCCACAGATCTTAGGATGAAATGGTGATCCAGGCAGAGAAGGTCTTTGCTCTCACAAAACTCACTGTGCTATCACCTGATCAGTACTGTGGTGGGGAATTCTGTGGAATATGGGAACTCTAAGCTACAGCCCTGTACCTGGGAGTCAGTTGAGGACCTTCTTGGGTATGTGGAATCTAAGCTGAGGTCCTTTTCCCCCCCCCTAAAATATTTGTAATATATTTTTATTGATTTCAGAGAGGAAGGGACAGGGAGAGAGATAGAAACATCAATGACGAGAGACAATCATTGATTGGCTGTCTCTTGTACACCCCCTACTGGGGATTAAGCCTGAAACCCGCGCATGTGCCTGTGACTGGTATCAAACCAGGGACCCTTCAGTCCACAGGCCAACACTCTATCCACTGTGCCAAACCAGCCAGGGCGAAGCTGAGATCTTGAAGAAGAGGAAGGCCAGGATGTTCTAGACCACATGTGTCAAACACAAGGCCCGCGGGCCAAATCTGTCCCACCAGGCCTTGCAATGTGGCCCGCACCGCGCTGTCATCACTGCACTCCGCTGCGTTTCCATCACAATGACAGTTTATGACTGTTCAGTAAACCATTCGGCCCGCGATTTAGGCTAGATTTCAGATTTTGGCCCCTTCTCTGATTGAGTTCGACACCCCTATTCTAGGCAAAGGGAGCAGTGACTGGCAGGATCACACAGGGCCTGTAGACCATGTCATTTGTCAGGGATGAGCCCAGGCTACCCTAAGTAGAAATCAGGATATGGTCCTCCAGACCTGGATTGAGATGCTTTTGGCCACCCAGGACCAGATGCTTGGGACCGAGCCCCCAGAAGCCTGGTTTTCCAGAGTCCTCCTTTTTATTATCCTTGGAGTTCAACTCCTTGGACTCTCTGAGCCTGGTCATTCTGAGACCAGCCCATGCTTTGAGAACTGAGATGTGAGAAGGACTTTCACACCTGGACTTGATCAGAGAAGGATGATCAGCATGGTAATGGGATTCCTTAGCCTAAAGAGGAAGAGGCTGGAGAAAGCAGAGCCATCATCATTGTAGGAAGAACTGCCACACTGGGGAGGCAGGACCAGGACCAGCATGCACTTAGAAGATGCTGATATTGTGAGGCTGTGAATTTAAGCAGTAGCTGGATGACCCTCTTTTTGAGGCTGAAGGAAAGATTTCTCCACTGACTGCAAATTTGGCCTAAATGACCTCTAAAAGTCTGTCTAGCACTAGGACTGTGTGTGGACAGATCCTCAGAAAATAATATGAAAGCACAAGTTTCAGCCCCCTGGGTCAAGCATGATCCATGTGGACCATGATGGTCATCCTGGCCATGGTATCATTAATAAAGGCATCAATAATAAAACATCAATAGCTGC